TACAATCTTACAGTAACGTAAGATAGTATCTTACACAATATTAGCATAGAGATACTATGATAGTAGCAACAATAACCCCATAGGTTACTATGCCAGGTATACATAATCTATGATTATAGCTATGATAAAACATTTAAGGAACTGTCAATAAATAGAAACTGCCAGTCAATTTTAATTGTTTGACAAACAATAAAGTTATTTTTACTATTTTATTTTAGAGTATACCTTATTCTGAAGCTGGTTTTTAGAAGCCACAGAAGGTAAGACTGAAATCACCCCCACTTTTTATTACATTATTTGGCCAAATTTTTGAAATGAAATAATACGTGTACAGTACACTGTATGTCACTTATTTATTGTTAATATCCTTCAGGTTCTTTTTGAGTTTGTATAATCCATGTTTGACTTGGAGTGAATTATACTACGAACTAATTTTTATAATAAAATAGGACGATTGTGATAATGACACTAAACAGGGTCTACATGTATATACAAAAATATAAACCTGACCACATCAAAGGATGATGTCTTAATTATGAGAGATATCTCATTATTGTGACATCACCCTTTGATGTGGTCGAATAACTTCTTATAGGATTGTGGAATAAGAATGAGACTTTCACAGGTTCTTAGTTGCCCAATGCCATCACAGGATCTCAGATCTTGGGTCTCTCAGCCCTTGGGAACCCTGAGAACCGGGTTCTCCCTATAAACTCAATCGCATACCAAGCAATGACGTTTATGATGTTATAGTTTACATAAGCACATGTAGCCGTGAGCCCAAACTGATAATTCTTCTTTCTTCTTTAAAAAGCCAATGGAGCAAGATCTTCTGATAATGATGGTCTTTATGAAGACTAGTTGACTCCGGTAGCTTAGCAGGAAGAGCAAGGCTGTTTTAAGAGTGAAACAAGTCAAACAACACAGCCGAAATATTGGCCATGTCTCTATGAATATCATTATAATGTGTCATTAGTGACGTAGCTACATTTTTCAAATTCCTCGCATTTGCTTCGACTTCCAGTCCAAACTGAGTTGGGGCATAATTCTAATGTTCCAATGAAATCATTTTAAACCATTCATAAATAATTCTGTTTGATGTTAATGATATGAATGAGGTTTCCAAGACTGGTATAAGGAAGCCATTCAACAGAATGAGCCTAATTAACCACTTATAATAACTATGTCTCTATGAATAAGTTTAAACTATGAGGTGTTTATCCATTATTAAATTGAAGCAACCGGAAGTTCCATTGCAATTTCTGGACATGGCCCAAAGAAGAGAAGAACTTGCTATAGAAAAAGAAAAGGCAGTCCAAAAAGAGAAAGAACTTGCTATAGAAAAGGAAAAGGCAGGAGTCTTTTTTTGTGTTTGTTGGAGTGAATGAAATTTACTTGAAAATAAATTGCTTGACATATGATATGACACCATACAAGGTCAGTTCCAATTAGCTTCATGAATAAATTTGTATTATTCCTATAGTGCTGATGTGTAGATGATGAATACACTGTCTTCCTCTATTATGGGTTATGACTATTATGGTGTGTAATGTTGGTACTGTGTACTACATGTACATGTATATAGCCCATGCTTTTTTCAATGGTAAACCATTATGATATGTACAGCAGCTTTAAAAGCACCCCTCAATTTTTATTACATTATCTAAATTATTATTCATATTTTAGATTATTGGTTGATTATTAATTTATTTATTATTGTATAATGGAGAGCTGAATGTAATGCTTTGCTTGCTTCCCTCAATTTTGATACCATTATTTTTGTAGCTGATATTGATTGATTCAATCATTATACTACATTTACAGTGATAAATATATGCATAAAGGAGCATATATGCATGCATGCTTGTACACGTACCTTAAATTTTGTATGTGGGTACAAAATAATTAACTTTTTAATTTTAACTGTATATTAGGTAATTTTCATCAGTGAAATCAACCGTCCTTATGTGCCTAGTGATGAAAATGTTACTGCTGTATATGTTTCTCTCTAACTATTAGAGCAGTAAAGGCGTAATGATGATGACATTTTTTGCTGAATTTTAATTCTGGATGAAATAATAAAAACTTTACCCAATAAAAACAACCGGCTGCTATGCAGTAATGTAAAGGTGAACAGAGAGATGTGTACATGTACTACCAACTATTGCGGTATTATTTATTGTGCTCCTTGCAGCTGGATTCCTTTTGTGTATTGGTAGGAAGACCTATCCAACTAGATTTCCCATCACAATAAGCATAATGTACAGGTAGAAAATTTCGAGGGTATAAAATTTTGTGTTTTAGTGAAAAGCTCTTAATTTTTTAATTTTGAGGGGGTTAAATTTTGAGTTTTTGCACGTGCACTTTCATTAAGTCATTGATTTTCATGTGCTGCGCATGCGCAGTGAGCATGTCCAGGGTATTAATTTTTGTGGTTGAGAATTCACCCACAAAATCTGCGAAATTAAATACCCCACGGAATTTTATACCCGTATGGTATAACACTAAGGTTATAGTTCTGATTAGTTTCATGAATATCATGAGTATATAAATAGAATTTGATGGCAATCTCTTTTCCTTTTCTCTCTTTCTCTCTTTCTCCTCAGTTTATCTTCCTGGTACTCATTACAAACCATACCCACTAAGTCTCTTCTCCAGTCATGGGACACAGATTGCATGTCAGAAATTATTAATAACAATAAATACAATAACTTATTACACGTATATGCTTTAGGTCAACTTTTACTAGCTGTGAGTTGATCTAGGAGAGTTGATGATGTCTGGTCTTAAACTAAATATCATTAATGTTATTGTTTTTTTTTGCAAATAATAAATTATGAATCGCATCACTGCATCATCCCACCCAGAATAGTCTCGCGCCAGACTGACCCAACCATAGATTGTATTACTAAGTAACTTAGTATACAATCTATGACCCAACCCACCATATGCATATGCGCGATATGCATGATGCAATCCATGAACTATATCATGTATCTATGATATAATCATAGATATTATACGTACATGGATTGGAAACATCACAGGAAGCCAATATTAAAAACTCCTGAAACGTCACTTCCTGTTAGTCAAAGGCTCTTTTCGGGAGATGGCGGCTAGGAGTTGGTAGTTATCGTCAGTTAGTGTTTTACCTTGGACAGATTTGGATCCAATTGTTGCTTCACTGTGTTTCCCAGGTAACTAGTATTGTATTAAAAAGCTAAGTATATGAATTGCGTGCTATCATCTCCCACAATACTCACAAAGATGTAAATTTATGTCTTTTAACACCTTGTGGGCACATTTTCTTTAAAACTAGCCATAGAATTACTTTGAATTTGTTTGAAAAGATGTGATCTGTATGAGTCTGCATGTACTAAACTTGGCATTTTGATTAAATAAGGAAGGGTTTTAAAGTTATTAGCTTTTTAATGTTTGTTACGTGTACCCCACGGTGGGCACATTTTAGGCCAATCAAGTGTATATGATGGATATTTCTTGATTCAGACATAATGTTTAAGAATGTACTTGTGTACTAGTGATGTCATTTTGTTCAATAAATGTCTTAAAATAGGAGAAATTATGAAGTGAATTGGAAGGAGATAGGAGGTTAAAAATTATTGAAGGTGGTGTTTTACTGCCAATTGAAGTAAGTTTTAAGTTGATCATCTACGAAAAAGCATTTTGTATTGATTTATGTCATACTAGGATCAATTTCATCTGTTATATGGTTTAATAGTAGGAACAAAATACCTTTGCATGCACTGTCTACCATATTGAGAAAGCCAGGAGCATGAGCCATCAGCAGACTGTAATCATCATTAATAATTGAATCTACTTGTTTGTGGCATGTCATCAAGGAATTCTACGAAGTCATCAACAATACCTCAGTGATATTAATAATACATAGTTATTTTTGATAAAATTAAATTTCAAATATTATTGGTATTTTTTAAATGTATATTTTCTCTCTTTTATATTTCCTCTCCTTTGTTTCCTTCACCTTTGGAGTTTAAATTAAAATTTGCATGTTGAGAATATCTCCAGAACAGTCTCAAAGGTACTTGCTTAATGCTTCAGCCTTCAAGTAATGCTGTCACATTTTTCCACGTGGGTAATGATGTCACTTCCTGCGAAAAGATTAAGAGCATGTGACCATCCGGTCTTGCCCTGTTTCCAATCCATGTACGTATAATATCTATGAAATCCAGATACTGCAGCGCTAGCGCACAAGACTAAGTAATTACCCTGGATAGATTATTACTGTCTTGACATTATGCCTCTAGTAAAATGCACAAACTGTGGCCAGACAGAAGGGGAAACTGGATTGTTCAGGAGTGCACAGTCCATAGAGAAATGCAAGGTTTGCAGAGCGAAGGAAGCTGATAACTCCGCCGAGGCATTGGCATTAATTGACAAGGAAAAGGCAATAGCATTAAAGGAGAAAGAACTTGCTATCGAAAAGGAAAAGACAGCCCAAAAAGAGAAAGAACTTGCTGTTGAAAAGGAAAAGAAAGCCCAAAAAGAGAAAGAACTTGCTATTGAAAAGGAAAAGGCATCCCAAAGAGAGAAAGAACTTAATGTAGAAAGGGAAAAGGCAGTAGTATTAAAAGAGAAAGAACTTGCCATCGAAAAGGAAAAGGCAGCCCAAAAAGAGAAAGAACTTGCTATTGAAAAGGAAAAGAAAGCCCAAAAAGAGAAAGAACTTATTATAGAAATGGACAAAGCAGTAGTATTAAAAGAGAAAGAACTTGCTGCTAATGAAAAAAAACAGGCTAAAGACAGGGAGCATGACAAATGGCATTTTCAAGCTCAAAAAGAGAAAGACAAAGAAATCAAGGAGGAAGATCACAAAAGAAAGTTAGAGGTGATTGAAGCTGATAAAAAAGCAAAAGTAGAAATAGAAACAATGAGAGCAGATTCTTTAGCAAAAATTGCTGATATAGAGAAGAAAAGGTTAGAAGCAGAAGAAAGAAGAATGAAGTTTATAGAGCAAATGATGCAAAGCGGCCAAACTGACGTGCAATCAATACTCTCGTCACTGCTGACACCTCCTGTTGATTTTCAACCTTTTTCAAATGCTGATACTTCCACCAGCAAGCGCAGCATGGACAAAGAGTCACCCGAGGCTTATTCTTCTATGGGTAATGAGAACATAGACGACAATCACTGACTGCTGCCTACTGAAGAATGATAAATCATTTGTTTTTACAATTAAATTAATTTTGTAATAGCCTTTTTAGGAGCCTAAATTATGGTATATTTTGTGTTTACTCAGTTTTAGCATTGTTCTACATAGCCTCTATTTTTTGTTAAAAGCCTTTCTCCAAATCTTATCCACTTCCACATGTCAATTTTTGCTTCATCTTCTTTCATCATTCTTTCAATCTCATTCTCCTCTTGTTCAATAAAGTATGCAGACCACTTCTTCTTTTCTTCTTCTGTTTTACCCCTTTCATTTTCCAACCACTTTTCCTTTGATTTCAGTCTCTCTAATTTTACATTTGCCTCTGCAATAAAAGCTGATTCAGCTACGGTCTCATCTCCTTCAATGCTTTTGTCAATAAGAGTTGATTCAGCTACAGTTTCATTGCCCTTAGATGGAGGCTGGGTGTGCTCATTGCCTTGATTTGCAAGTGATGGCTTCCCCTGGATATCTCCTTCTTCAGTTGATTCAGCTACAGTTTCATTGCCCTTAGATGGAAGCTGGGTACACTCATTGTCTTGATTTGCAAGTGATGGCTTCCCCTGGATATCTCCTTCAGTTGATTCAGTTACAGTTTCATCGCCTTTAGCTGGAGGCTGGATACACTCATTGTCTTGATTTGCAAGTGATGGCTTCCCTTGGATATCTTCTTCTTCAGTTGATTCGGTTACAGTTTCATGCATCACCCTTAGATGGAGGCTGGGTACACTCATTATCTTGATTTGCAAGTGATGGCTTCCCTGGGATATCTCCTTCTTCAGTTGATTCAGCTACAGTTTCATTGCCTTTAGATGGAGGCTGGGTACACTCATTGTCTTGATTTGCAAGTGATGGCTTTCCCTGGATATCTTCTTCTTCAGTTGATTCAGTAGATTATAATGAAGTGATGCTCCAATTTTTATTTTTTAGATAGTCGTGATAGCAGTGACAGGTTTTAATGCTTTCTTTGCACTAAAGATTTGGAGAACTAAAAAAGAGGAAAGAAAAGCTGTTTTTTATCATTTGAAGGACTTAAATCATTAACTTTCAACTGTTGAACCAGGAGCCCACATTGTATTATTGTCAGACAGTTGCAACTGTATAGATCATGATTTCTTGAGATTTTAATATATTTAATATCTCTTTTTAAAAATATTTGCACCATGAGATAGTTAACAAACCATGATAATGTATTGTTTTTTATTACATTAAGTAAAGAAAAATATAAAAATTGTATGATATGATGCTAATCTATAATCATAGATACTAAAATTAATGAAAAAAGATAAAAAGATAATTATTGTAGATTATGTTCAGGCCACGCCCGTCGCCCATGACATTGAGATGAACAAGAGGAAAGTGAGCTGTTTAGTAGTTGATTCTGGC